AGAGAGAGAGAGAGAGAGAGAGAGAGAGAGAGAGAGAGAGAGAGAGAGAGGAGAGAGAGAGGACATTTATTATTATGCAACAAGAAAAAAATCAAGTAAGAGAATGAGATTGAGACATCTATATACTTTCATTTTTTTCTCTTTAATCTTTTTCTACCTCATTAGTTACTCATTTAATATATATATTTGCTTGAAATTTGAAATTAAGAAGCGAGTTAGATTGGATGACTTATTTGGTTACAACAACAAAAGGATAATGACCTTGGTATACTTATAGTAAAAAAACTCCTCCCTTCTATCATTTGTAATCGATGATAAATACTAGTTGAATCATTTCAATTGGGTTAATCCCCCTAATTTTCCTTTTTTTTTCACGTGAAAAACTTCCGTATCTTTTGATCGTTTATCTGTGTATATTTTGGATCTTTATATGACACCAAGCTGTTAAACTCTCTCTCTCTTTTGACCACCATGAATTTGTAAGCATGCAAAACTATTTGAGGTATACTTTTTGTTTTATTAGAAAGAAGAAAAATCATCTCTCTGATCTGTCTCTCTCTCTCTCATTTGTTTAAGAACTACTTAATTGAGGTAAAACAACATATATAGTTCATGAATAAATGATCATAGTTAGGCAATACATTGTTGTCATGGAACAGCCAATTCCTTATACTAATAGCATTTTTTAAAGCAAAAGCAGCAAAACCAAATTCAGTTGAGATATCCACATGCATTTTGTATTATGATGGGACTTGTTTTACTACATATATTATATTAATTTTTATCATCATTAGATATAATAGTCAATATGACCAAATTATTCGACAAATAATTTACTTATATTAAACAGTTTTGTCTAATAATTTAGTTGTATGAGGAGATAATATTTAACGTAAGAAAATAAAATTATATTAAGTAAAACTGTGTATGTCTTGACATAGAACGTATCTGAATATATATAACAATCAACTAAGAGGTTTTAGATTTGAAGCTTGCATATGTTATGTGTGAGCTTAAGGTTTTGTTTGTGACAGCTTTTTTAAAGCTTCTTAAAGCGGCTTTCTAGTACAAAAATTTAATTTTTATACTAGAAAGCTGCTTCAAAAAATAGTAAAAAAACCATCCCAAACGAAACCTCTCAAAAATCTCAAGGAAGCTCGCAAACTTCAACAATATTTGTTTCACTTTAGATGTGATTATTAAATTCTTAGCAAGTGTATATAATCATGTCTACTAAGATGTTGAAAAGAGTATGAGTAGTGATGATAACCATATAATGTGACAGGAAAAAAGGTGGTGAAGGAGACATTCTAAGTAATTTCATGTAAGATTTACTAAGAATAAATTATTGGCTTTGGGGCCACAGACACATGAAATAAAGAAACCCTAATGATGTGAAGTGGCAACAACTTGGCTGTCAACCCCATATGGAACTTTAATTAAATTTTATTTTGTATGTTTTCTTTATCTGTTGGAAGATATCTATCTTATTTCTCTCAGTTACAAAGAGAAAGGAATATATAAAGAAAATATTAGTTAGTTGCTTTAACTATCTTTTCAAAGTAGTGGACAATCTTTTTCTTTTCTTTCTTTCTTTTTTTTTTTCTTTTTCTCTCAAAGCATTCAATTGCTCAAGATGAGAAGTTTGAATGCCATATTTGTTTGATTTACAGCAAATAATAATGAGGAAAAAGGAGAGATCTAATGCTTTGAGGTTGGAGGCATCATGAAATGTAGGGTTGTGATTTGATTGTTTTCAAGAGTAAATGATGGAGAGGAAATGTTATTGATTGGGTTTGACTTTGGTTAAGGGTTGGGTTAGATTAATCAGTTTAGTAAATATTCGGTGAGTGTTATGCATTGTAGTTATTGATGTGTAATAAGAAAAAGGTAAAAGAAAGATAGCAAATGTGATTGACACGTCCATATATTCTCTTTCATTGTTTTCTCTTACATTCATATCTTTTATATCTTTAATTACTCATTGAATGGATTTATTATTCTATACGGAGTCAGGAGGGTGTCCGGAGACCAATAAAAATGTGCATTAATGTCACTTCAAAAATGTATCATGCTCGGTACCGAGCGCTTAACCGTACGATTTTCTCGTCCAATGTCCGTACGGAATAATAGCTCTATTGAATGACACCAATCTGTAATTGATTAACTATGTGGTTTTTTTTTTGAATGGGGATATCTACCCGCTGTCATCCCTTAAGAGGTGCTTGGCGGCGTAACTAATCCCTCGATAAGCTTGCCAGCAACTAGCCCCACAGGCGCAAAACCGCAATTATTTTCTCCCATTTAAGAGGTGACACCGCATGAGAGAGGATTCGATAAATATGGCCGAAAGCTCATTTTGAATGAAATTATCTTTACCATATAGGATGCAATCTTTAATGATATTTTGATGCAAATTATATCATGATAATTTTAAAATTTATAAATGAAATCTATCGAATTTCTTAAGAGATTAATCATGTATAATTTTTTTTAAATCAGTCATAATACAATTTGCATTGGGATATCCTAACACATATTTTATTCTATTCATTATCAATCACACAATCCAATGCATTTTGGCATCCATTTTTGAGTTTAGAAAAAGTCATAATGTCCTACATATTAAATCAATCATATTACAAATCAATTTAGATAAAGAACTAATATTATGAGAAGGATAATTTGGTCTAAATAAAAAAAAAATCAACATATTTGATCATGCTCACACATGATTAGTTTTTCCAAAATAATAAAAATATATCACATATTTTCATCAAATTAGTTCAAAATTAATACACAAATAAAATAGGCACAAAACCAATTATAAATAGAAAATGCATATAAGGCTAATTATAGAGATTAAATAAATATAATGTTGAAAATTTTCATCATAATCATATTTGCACCTTTAAGATAAAAAATCAAAGAATGTATTGCTTTAGTAATTGCTCACACATGATTTGACCAACATGCCATCTTAATTAGAAAAATAATATTTTTCTCACCTCTCTCTCCTCAGTCCTTTGAAGAGAGAGAGAGGGCATATAATTCTAATGTTGAAATGAACTTTATAACTATCACATTTCTATAAATAAATTTAATAACTATGAAATCTATGAACATTAAAATTAATCAAAAATCCTAACCCATATTTTCTTCCTTATGATTGTAGAAATTCATATCATGTCAAATTAAAAAGTGGCTCGATTAAGAATTTATTATTATTATTAGTTAACCAAAAGATTTATTGGTGATAACTACAAATCTAAGTCCATGAAATTATTTTTTGTTACCGTTAATGAAAATTTATCGCCAATTAAAAAACATTATTACACAAATTTATTTCTAGCTTCTTAGATGCCTAGGAGCTTAGGATTCGTTTGGGATGACTTTCTTACTGCTTCTTAAATAGCTTTATAGTACAGAAACTAAAAATTTTGTATTAAAAAGCTACTTTAAGAAACAATTAAAAAATTATCCCAAACGATGCTTTAGGCTTCATTTGGGACGGCTTTTTTCTGCTTATTGACGTAGTTTTTTAGTACAAAAATTTTAATTTTTATGCTAAAAAGCTGCTTCACGATGCTTTAGGCTTTGTTTGGGACGGCTTTTTTACTGCTTTTTAAAACGGAGTTTTAGTACAAATTTTTTTATTTTTGTACTAAAACTCAACTACTATGTTTCTCAAGAAAATCCTAATCAAAGAAGCACACGTCATCGTTCTCAAAATAATTTAAAAGGTTTCATTTGAAACGATTTTCTTACTGCTTTATAAAATTATGTTTTAATTAAAAAAATCTCTTGAAGGCAAAAAAAAAATAATAATAATCTAAAAATATCCCAAACTAAATCATTTTTCCTTCAACCTAAATAATGTTTCATTTGGGATGACTTTTTTTAGCTTTTTAAAACAATTTTTTATTAAAAAAATTTAATTTTTATACTAAAAATTCACTTTAAAAAACAACAAGAAAGCAGTCCTGAACAAAACCTTAGACTTATAAAATCATGTTCTTCCTCCGCACAATTTTATTTTTATTCATTTGAAAGGATTTTTATTTAAAAATAGGGAAAAAAAACCTAGTAGATTCCATGAGTTCTAGGTAGAAGACTTGATTTTCATAGTTTTCTTTGAAGGCTACCCACTTTTGGCTAATATGTATAGGAGGCATCCCTCTGCAAAGCCTCATACTATGGTAAAATTATTCCATGCAGATACCAGACTGTTTGAAGGTGAATCAGAAAGTCACACGTCACTCGTCTGCTGCATATCACGAATGTGTACCAACTGACGTGGCACATTTTGAGACAACTTTAAACAATCCGATATCCGCACAGAATAATTTATCTATACTATAAGCTATTTGATTTGAAATAAAAGGTATATAAAATATTTTAAATACAGAAATTTTAAAAATATTAATATTTGATTTGACGAAAAAATTTGACCTTTTCCATTGACCTTATGACTTTCCTCATACATGTAATTGATCTTATCCCTATCATATATTTATAATTACCTTTATGCCCACTTAAACTTATAACTGGCCTAAGAACAAAATACAAGGCAGAGTTTACTTCAAGCATAATGATGAAAGAAGCCTATGTCATCATCAACAGCTTCCAACATGTACATCTTTCAGGTGGAGCTATTTTGAGGCAAAAGAGATTCCATAATCCTGGTTGGTACAACCTAACAAGTGATTATGACCATCATTAGCCCTTTTGCTTTCTCTTGATGCAATGAATAAGAGAAGCACCTTGTTTTTATTAGATCCGGAAGTTGGAAAGAAGTTTTGCTTAGTAGGAAAACATCCAGGCTTCACCATCATAGTTAAATCAACATGTCTAAATCGAGGCAGCCTCGGGCGCCCGGGCGGTAGCAAGTAGGGCGCGGGCAGGTGCGCGGGTAGCCAGGGCAGGTGCTGACAGCATCAGACAGCACGATCAGCTCATTGAAAACGGGTTTCCGAGTTGACCTGACAACCCGTCAGGTCAAATCGGACCCGACCCGTTTTTCAAACGGGTCGAATCCGGGAACCTGAAACCGCCCCGTTTTTCAAATAGGTTGGGTCCAAGCCGAAATTTCCGGGTCGGGTTTTCGTGTCGCCCCTACATGGCCCTATTTCTGATTCTTTGTAAGGATAATGATTTGCTTATCTTTGCTTGTTGGTTCGTGCAACTAAATCGAAGCTTTAGAACGACTTTCTTACTACTTCTTGAACAATAATTTCAAAGTTTATGCAAGACTAAGGTTTCGTTTGGGATAGCTTTTTACTGCTTCTTAAAACAGTTTTGTAGTTAAAAAATTAAAATTTTTATACTAAAAAGCTAATTTAAGAAGCAGTAAAAAAGCGGTCCCAAACAAAGCCTAAGACTTCGCAAGCTCAAAAAGTTGATGGTAGTACAAAATAGAGAGATCAAGCCATACAATACATGCAATGATGAAGTGCAGTTATAGGATTACAATGAATATTTAAGACCTATAGTTTTCACCTGGAAAGAGTGATAAAACAGGCTTCTCAATCTGCTGTAATCTTGAGAAGATTGTGCATCACAAGCTATGGAAAGAAGGGAAACTACCATGAATTCTTACCTATTGCCTGATCAGCAGAAGCTTTCATCTTGATACACAGAAGTCGCTGATGCTTTTGAGAGGCCTCCGGTCCTGCTCCAAGATGAAAGAAAGATCTTAAGTTAAACCATCTCTCATTTAGAAAAATCTGAAGGATTTTTATTCACTGGTTCACATTTCATTGTCGATGATGTTCTTGATCATTTCCCGAGGAATCAGCCCTTCCGTTCTGATTGCATTTTTAGTTGGATCAGGGCTGATAAAGTACAAAGTAGGTAATCCCCGAACCTGTCATAGATAGGAAATAAAGATTGAAGGTTTCTCTGAACTTTGCAAAGTTAAGAATGATGAAGATGGTAGCCATGATGTACCTGCATATCTTGTGCAAGTTCATACTCATCATCTGTGTCAACCTTGACAAACAAAACATTTTCCTCATATTCTACAGCGAGCTGCAAGCCATAATTTTGTGAAATTTACAACTTAAATGGTTAAGAAACTATGGCATGATAATATTGTTTCGGTTATTTCAACAAAAAGACAAGGCTTTGGCACTTTATGGTGGTGCTAGTAAATTCAATTATGAGTGAAACCAAGGAAAAAGCCGGACAATTAAATTTGCTTGTTCAAGACTTTGTTTGAATGCTTTGAATTTGAGTGAAAAAAGAAAGGTAGAAAGTTTAATCGTTACAGATTAATAATTGTTGGAATCATAAAAAAGCTAATCTAATAATGCGCAATTTTAGACTATATTGCAGCGATGAATCTAACTAGACTAACAATGCCTAATTTCAAGCACAACCCATCCAAAACCAAAGTGAACAACGCTTGCAATGCATCAGTGCATACTAGTTACCATGAAATTCCTTGAAGAACTTATCAACTTCTCGGAATGGCTATATGACCTTCACATACCTCCACTTCATGAGCCGTTTACAACAATAGGCCCTAAAAAAGAAGAATGTTTGGACATAAAAAATGGTAATGATGTAGGTTAGCTCTCTCGCTTCATGATGGGCGCTCTGCTAGGATTTCTTCCACCTTAGCCATGCACCTCCGCACCGTCCTCTCCGGCTCTCCGACCCCGGTCTGCCCTCAAGAAAGTACATTTTCCCATTTCTCTCTGGCTTTTGTGGTGTTTTGATCCTGTTTTCTGTTAGGCCGGCCCAAGGAGGGCCAGCTGAACCGGTCCATCCAGGACCGATTTAGGTGTACAAAAGGCAGGCCAGGGGTGGGGCAGAACCAGGGAAAGAGAGAGAGATGAGTGGGGCGGCTAGTGTGATGGGGCCCACACATTAATTAGCGATGGGTTGGAGGGAAAATTTGAAATTAAGGGCTGTTTAGGGATTTAGTAGTTGTCCTTTTGCTTTAATTACTTTCTTCTTGCTAGGGTTAGGGTTATCTTGAATTTGGAGGCTGAATTTGAGATCTAGGGTTTGCTATTGGGCTCTAGGCGTTGGCTAGAGATTTGGAGAGTTGAATCTTCCTCTTGAATCGAACATTCTTATATCAGTTGTTGTCTTCTTCTCTTATTGAATTTGAAGTGATTATTCACCTTATTTCTCTTCCAATCTATAAAAATCTGCTATGTTTTGCTGTTTTTCTCTGAAATTCAGCAATTTTCTGCATTATTGGTGGCTGTTTCCTAACAATTAGTATCAGAGAAATTCGATCTAAGGAATATCAATGGCCAGAAGGAAAGTTGAAGTTTTGGAGGGAGAACTTGGACAACTCAAATCAAATTTAGAGGAGAAGATTTTTTATTTTTAGAATCGAATTGCATCTGTCAACGAAAGGATGGAGGGAAAGTTCGCCGTGGTGGAAGACATATTGAAGAAATTGCTAGAAGTTAAACCCAATCTGGCAGCATCGAAAACAAAGGAAACTACTATGAGCAATGGAAGAGGTGGGAACCCTAACATGTTTAGGGGAAGGGAAAATCCAGAAGTGGAGATCTTTGAGAGTGAAGACAGAATGCCTCCTCTATAATCACTTTCTAGAGAGGAGATGAACATTGGCTACAAAAGAATAGGTGTTGATTTTTTGAGGAGAGGGAAAGATTTCGATCACCGGGGTGCTAATGATGAAAGAAGAAGAGAGGATTTTACTGAAGGTTTTGTGTATGATCACAGGAGGGAGATCGTGACAATTTGGGAGCACCTCCTCTTCGAGGAATGGGAGGTTATGGAGGATTCAGGGGAAACGGGAGTGACCTGATGAAGGTGAGAAAGCTGAAGATACCCAACTTTGAGGGCGAAGATGCACATGACTGGATCTGCAAGGTAGAGCGATACTTTGCAGTTAACGGGCTGATAGAAGAGGAGAAATTGATAGCTGCATGAAGCATTCTCAAAATTTTTTTTAATCTTAAGCTTATTGATGAGGTCTCGGTTACCATTCTCAATATGAAGCATGTGTTGATTAAGCTGGTTAATGATTTAGATTATTGTAATGTGTTTGCTCACCAGTCTTACTTTGTGAACAATTGCTTTATGAAGCTGTTCAAATTATCTCCTATGTTTGATATTGAGGTGGAATCTCCAATAATTATTCCCATTTAGGTTTCTTTTCCCAACCTTAGACCTCACCTCTTTTCATCTCATATTCTTCATGGTTTAAACTTCCTCTTTGGCCGACCTCTTAAAATCGATCATGCCACTGCTTGTGATTCTTGGCCGTCGGTAGCTCGAGTTCTGGTTGAGTTGGATGTCACCAAACACTATCCTAACCGGGTGTGGGTTGGTCCCGAAAATTTGGGTTATGTTAAGTCTATCATCATGGAAGATTTTCCTTCATATTATTCTCATTGTAAATCACTTGGCCATTCAAAGATGGATTATAGCACCATGAATCCTATTCCTCCTAATATTCCCTCTACTAATCATATTGCGGGTAATGAGTGAGTTTTGCCATCCATTATGGAGTTTAATTCTAGGCAGGTCAATGAAAGTTTGGATTTAGCTTTATGCAATGAGGTTGTTGATGTTGGTGAGGGTCATTTAGAAAAATCTTGTGATGCTGGCAACTTGGGTCTGCCCGAACTTGTGGTTGTTCTGTGGTTCCTCCTGCGACTGTTTCGGTTAGTGATGCTGGGCTTTCTCGTCAGCCCGTGGTTTTGGCTTCTGATGGTCTAGATGCTGATGGCAATGTCAAGAAGAATTTAAGTGTTGTTAAAGCTAATATTGATGGTTTGAAGGTAGTTGAGCCTGTTATTACTATTATTGATTGTACCGTGCAAGAGACTTATGATTCTCAAACTGTTGTTGTGAAGGATCCAAACATCTATTGTCTCTCTTAAAATGGAGGTGGTTAACATGGAGTTGTGTTGTGTTAACACTATGGTGGTAAATGATTCATTTACTAGAATGCCTAATGCTATTGTTGGACCTACTATGCCCACTTCTTTCTTGATAATTTCTGAAGGAATGATTGATATCCCTATTTCTATTATTTCTCATAAGGATTTGAAAGCCCACATAGATTTGTCTTTGCTTGATCTTGTGTGATCCAATCTGATCGGCTTGAAGAGCACTTGTCCTTGCATGGTGAGGGTGAGGGGGATGAATTGGAGGGGGCCAAGGAGGAGTTTGATGATTTGTTTAATTTGAATGTGAATCACATTGTTGAGAAGGTCTTCTCCCAAGGAGGTGGCAAACGTAGGCGGTGTAAATCCAAAAGAAAGTAATGGTGATTAGGGGTGAAAACGAGTCGAGTTTGGGCACAATTGAGCTCAACTCATCAGTCTGAAGGGAGCTTAAACTCGAGCTTAAGCCCGAGCTCGACTCGTTGCATTCTAAACGAGTTCGAGCTGCTCATCTGGGTGGTTGCATGGAGCTTTGTGCCAATTACTGAGCCCGGCTGGCTTCCTCTCCTTCGTCATTGTTTGCTTTCTCTTCATTACTAATTTTGACTGTGTAATCCTACTTTGTTCTTATTTAGACTTGGTTGTATCCACCTTTTTTTTAATGAAATAAACTCACCCTTTCACAAAAAAAGGGTATGCAAATTTTTCGGATCTTGGAATTATTCTTACTAATGCAGAACATGATTTTTGGTATGTTACTATGCTAAACTAATGACATTGAGATCTACAAGGTGGTATATTCATATCATCAATTAGAGACATCACCAATAGTGGCCTCCATCCGTTGTCAAACAACTACTAGCTGTCTGGTTGGACCAAGAACTTGTTAGGCTAGCCAAAGAATAGCATTGTCTGGTAACATTTCAATTATAGAAAGACATGATCTACAAGCATGCACTTTTCCAACAATTTTCTCTATAAATCAACATGGCTTTGCAAAAGGTTAATTCAGAGAAAAAAAGACCCAAACAATCCAAAATTATTGGCGTACATAGATTTGGAAGATCACATAATTAAACTAAAAGGAAGTGGATATCATTTCCTTGAAATCGGCAAACGACAATAAGAAAATAGGAAGAAGAACACACCAAAGCTCTTTTTATTGCAAGATATATGAAAGAAAATGGCAAGATACAGCGGGATCTTCAATTGGAAAGGAAGATCCGGCTCTCCCAAATTCCTAGCCGACCGCTAGAACCCTCACAACCTAAAAAAACTGGGCAGACCTTTATTTGAAGAAAATGTTCACATGTGAAAAATTTGGCTTGGGTTCTTACTCAAAGGAAATAAAGGCAAAGACGACACAACAAGCTATCTTTGAAAAATCTTTTTGGAACACTATGGTGTATGTACTCAAAGAGGCAGACCTTTATAAAAGGCCCTTAATTTAGTGGATACAAAAAAAAAAAAACTTCGATTAACTACATATATATAAGGAAATGAAAAAGGTTCAAAGAAGTAACGCCTGCATTTTTGATCAACTTTAATAAGTATGAATACATTTTTGAAATCATTGATAGAATATGGGCCAGACAATCAATCTATCAGTGTTTGCATGAATTTCCCCATTATTAAATCTAAAATATTTTTTTGCAAAAGATAAAAAATTAGCTAATGGTTTAAATGAATGCATAGGAAGATTAACAAAGATGTTAATGAAGAAGAAAAAATTAGCAATGAATTTAGTGCAACATTTGGGGCAATTTTTCTTTTTAATTCCTTTTCCTATAAGACGAAGAACTAAAATTTTCAATTGATTGATGGCTAGCATGGCCAAGGAGTTTCATATTTCTAAAGTTTTACAATCAAGATGCTTAGCCTTACATGTAGTTTATCTGGAAGTGAATGAAACAAGAAATTTTATACTTTATAATCTTAATAATTTTTTGTTGCAACTTCATAAAAAAAGAAGAAGATGGATTATGATTACCTAAAATATTTGGTTTACGTGAAGTATGCTAAGGCCTTGAATTAAATATACAACAATCATGACATTATTGATCCAACCTCTTTAAATGATATAGATGTGCTAATATGTGGTCAATATGAAAAATGGAAGATGAGTCAGATGAAAATAACTAGTTATGGGTGAAGAAGATTTAATATGGAGCACTGTAGCAAAAGCTGATTGTATTTATAAAAGAAACTATAATATTCAAGAGAGATCTAGAGAGAAAAACTGAATGAATCCTTAAGCTTAACACTCTTGCAAATGAACATGAAGATAATGAGGGTGATGCAAAAGATGATTTTGGAGATAATGATGATGTTGATGAAGAAGATGAGGCTATCTTGTCAAATGATAATGATGATTCTCGAGATGATTTTTTTTTTTTTCAAAAAAATGAGTTCCATAAAAAAAATTGTAATATTTCGAGTCTGAGTGCTTTAGCACCTAAGCCTAAGCGTCAACATTTAATATGATAAACATCATAACTTTATTTATAAATTTATTTGTTTTTATTATAATGATAGTTTATTTTTCAATATAGTTGTCTTTCATAAATGTTCATGTATATATATATATATAGTTTATTCTTGGCAATCTAAAACCCTCATAGTTAGCATGCACATCTATTCTACAATCACTAATTTACAATTCTACAAATAAATGCATGCAAGTTTTGCTATTTCACTGCTTTACAAGTGCATAATGATGAACCTTAAGCTAATAAAAGTAAGCTTCTAAGATTAGGGGCACCATCTTCTGAAATTACAGAAACAAGTTGGTTATATAAAGCACAATTTTAATCCTTTATTATCCCTGTAAAAGATCGTGTATCTGCAGCCAGACAATTTAGCAAACAGTTGGCATGCAATATATATTAACCTCCACCCTTAACCCAATGCTTGTTTATACACTTTTAGATCGTCGATTAAATTCAAAAGATACACAGAGGAAATCTTCTGTTCCTAAAATGATAAAAAACGCAAGCAAGACGTAAAATTTCACAGGAAGCAAGGGGATCCCATAAGAAGGTAAAATGTACCATTTCGAGGTCCTGCGCCATCAGAATACAAGGTCCACACCATGTCGCATAGAAATCTAGAACAATTGGAATGCTCCTTTCCCCTCTCACTATCTCCTCTAGTTCCTTAGCCGTAACCTTTTTCTGCTTCGCCGCACCAAATGCAGCAAATCCGGACGATTCATGAAGTCTAAGAAACGAAAGAGCAAGGAATTGACAGGAAAACAAAGCATTAGTTAAGACATACCACGAGATAATCTTCTTCTATGTAGTTCTTTTTAGCAGCTGCAGCTGCCAAGGAAGTCCTACGGTTGCGGGTGGAGACAGAACGGAAGAAAGGGAGAGGAATGGTGGAGGAATTGTTAGTGCGCCGGAGAGTTAAAAGAAAAGGGGTCGCCGGAGAGGAGAGGCGGCCGCCATCAGCATACGCTACGAAGGGTAAGGGTGGCGAGCCCGGGATGCCTGCAGCCATCCTTTCAGGCTTCGAGCGTAGGACGCGAAGGACAGGTGATTGGCAGCAGCGGATAAACATTATAATGGGGGATATTTAGGGAAATTTTTTTAATATTTTTTCTAAAAAAGATAATATTATACTTTCAAATAATGCAATTTTTTAATTTATTTTTAATACATGTTTTAAAAAAAAGGAAAAAAAAAATTATAGGGATGAAATTATTGAGAATGAATAAAGTACAAAGAGGGGTATCCTTCAAATAAGAAGAGGATGTGGGTGAATGATTGAGCCTTATGAAGTTGAGATTATGGGCGTCACTTTATGACAATTTTCGAAAATTCAATTCAAATCTTATTCGGAAATTCTTATTTTGAGTTGACTCATTTAATAAACGGGTCGAGTTTGGATGGTAAATTTTATTCGGAAGTTTGGATTGTAAATTTTATTCGGAAGTTTGGATTGTAAATTTTGGATGAGTTTGGATTCAAATCTTTTTCGAAAATTTGGGTCATGTTCGAGTCAACCTACTAACTCAAAATTGACCCAAAAACGACCCACCCGCATCCTGCTTGCTCCTCTCGCCCGAACTACGTCCCGCCCGCTCCTCCTGCATCACTTATGTGTTACCGCGTCAGCCCACATCGTGTCCTACCTAGTAGCACTCCCGCCCGCACACATCCCACTCTAGCCCGCAACACATGATCGCGCCCAGCCTGCAGCACGTGATCATGTCCTGACCGGTCAAGCATGCCCTCCCGTTCGACATCGCCTGCTCTGTGCTCGCATGGGGTCCACAGGTCTGGTCGGGTCGACCCGAATTTGAGGCGGGTTGGGTCTAGGCTCATATTTATGACGTGCTCATGTAATTGGGTCGGGTTCGAGTTTGAGCAGTCGAGGATGGATCCGTTTCGGATTGGATCGGAATCCGACTCAAAAACCCACTTCGACACCCTTAATTGAGGTGTCACCTAATCTTCAGGGACTAAGGGACTAAAGATGCATGTCTTTGTTCATCGCTCACACACGAGAACTTCTTCCTAAATTCGGTTCAAATTAGAGTAGAATTAAGTTTTAACGAGGACCTAAATAAGAATATAAGCGGTTCTCATTGGGATATGTTGGTTCGAAAATACTTTGAATGATATTTCTCATATAAAAATATAACAATGATATTAGTTAATAAAATACATTACGAGGGGCAAAATTAAAACTTTCATTTATTTTTAAGTTGAAAAGAGGTGTAGGGATGCAAAAAATCAAGTTTTACCTTTTAAATATTTTATTAAATATATATTTGTTGAATCGAGAATTATCTGTGAAACCAAACTCAACTATATTGAGAATACTGGATAAAAAGAAGGCTGAGAGAGAGAGAATTCTAGAATGACAAAATAAGATTTCTCTAGAATAAATTTGTGTATTCATACTTCATCATAAAATTATCTTGGTTGGGCACGAATCTCGATGCAAAATAAGTTCGGAAACTTCAAAAATTAAATGCGAGATCATATGAACTCCGATTTCAGCGAGCTTACAGTCAAACTGAGCGTCTCGGAAATACGAATCCAACGACACCAAATTCGACCCAATCCGAGTCCAAATGGGTCCGAATCAAGGACCCGAAGCGCTGTTGGAAGTTTCAAACCGCAATTTGAGTTACCAAACGATCTCCGATTTTAATGAGCTTATACTCGAATCGAGCGGCTCGACGATACGAATCCAACGAGCCCAAGATCACCGAATTCCGACATCATTAAGGCCTTCAAATGTCCAACGAACGGTGCATGATCAAAGGATTCGATATCGGCCGTCCATTCAAAACACTCC